CAACGCACACCTGTGGGTGTATACCCCTCATGTAAGTGAGGTGATGATTACGCTTGGTGTGACCAATGTGTCGGACTTGCAAGAGTTCATCTTTGTGGAAGATTTGGTTGACAAAGGGATCAACAAAGTGACCGCATGCAAAATTCTGCAATTGGTGGGTGAGGTCCGATATCGACCGGGAGGACCGGAAAAGGCAGTTCCTTCTGATGCATCTGTACGGGTACAACAATCTTCTGGGAACAAAGGGACTGGAAGAGCGGCGGTGCGAACCCTCACTCAGGTGCGTGAAGCTGAAGACTCCGGTGCAAAAACTATGCCGAGAGGTTCCTATCGGAGCTTTTTGATAAGGTCAGGTACCGTGATGGTTGGACGCTTGCGCAGAGGTCTCCGTTGTGCGTACAGAAGCTGCGGTTGGTGGGAGTTGGAATGCCGCCGGTGAATCCACCAACGAAAAAGTATCGGTCAAGATCAAACCCTGTAAGAAGGGGAAGGCCCTTGCTGGACAAAAAACAGGTGCGACAGGTGCCACGATCTCGGTCACAACGACGAGTGCAACTGGCGGAAGTGGTGGAAAAACCGAAGCCACTGGAGCCGGTGAAACCTCGTGGTGGTTTGTCGTATCCATTCAGCAGAGCGTGGGCAGATGTGGTGGATGATGATGACCAGGCGGAGGCTTTGGTCTCGTATGCCGCTTCCTCAAGCGATTCAAGCGAGGAGGAGACCAATGCGGTACAACGCCTGAAGGAACTCTTTTTGCAAGAAAGGGATTCGTGGAGAACTGCGAGTCGTGGCAATGTTCCACAAAGTGGTTCTTCAGGCTCCAATGATGGGCCGAAAAAATCGGTTCACCTTGGCGAAGGGCGCGACAAAGCGTCGCGGGGGGAGACCCGCCAAGAAGTGACTTCACAAGTTTTTTCGCTACCACAACCTTCTCGTCGAGCTGAACGGTCTCAAAAAAGAACAAGGGATGGTTCAGTTATGGTTGGTTCGCTGGCGGTGGGCTCCACGGATGAGGTTTTACCTGGGCAAGGTGCTGCTGGACAGGTGAATGTCTCTGAAAGCGCTCAAGTTCTTCCTGGGCATGAAGTGGCTGGACAGGAGACGGCGCCGGAAGGAGCAGTACAGATTTCTGGCGAGGAGACCGACCAAAAAGAAGGAGAAGGCGGGAGCAATGATCTCCGTGGTAATGATGCGAAGATGTTGGATGGTGGTCCGGTGAGGAGTGACCTTCAGCAATTGCTGGTGAAAGGCCTTCTGACTCGAATTTATTGGAAGGTTGCAGTTGGCAAGTTGCCAATGGGGCAAAGAGATTGCCAAAAAGGGTCCAATAAGATGGATCGAAATTTGGTTATTAGCATGTCATCCGAGGGTGCAAGCGAACAGGATGAGAACCTGGCACTGGAGGACGATGCTGATCAGTCAATGGGAGACGGTGCAATGGTTATGGTGTATGATCCAGGAACGCTGATCCAGTCGTCAACAACTGATTGGGTGATGCGTCGCGGTCTGACCGATCGTACCGTCTGGCCAGCAATGGCGCACCTGGCACAGAGGATATGTGCTGAAATGGTTCAAGTGGATGAAATGAATGCCCAGCTAGGGACTGGAACACTCCTTTTTCAAAGGAGAGATCAAGGATATTATACTGACCTGCATCATTCGTTCCATGACAACCCGTGCTTGCCGGCGGTGGGGAATTACCCTCTTTCGGTGATGGGTGCCTTGTTGTCTCCTGGTCTGGAAGGGGAATTCAAGAATACGGACAAGTTTGGTACTGCTATGGAGGCAATTGCCTATGATTGGAGCCGCAGTCCAGGCATGGAAGTTCATATTGAACTTATGGCGAGGGTAGCCAAAATGGTTCACCCATTCCTGAATCTGGGAGCACAAGGGTCGGTGATGGTTTCAGAATTTCTCTGGCAGCGCGGGAGGGCTCGGTTGATGGAGTTTCTTCAAGCGGCGACTTGTGCGGACCAATTGGAGGCTCTCTGGAGAAGGATGGACGACGATGCGGATGAGGAGGTGGATCCTTCGACAGCGATGCTGGAAGTTCTTGGACTAGAGGATGCGGTGCTTGATCAAGGGAACAATGAATCCCTTATTCCCATTGAAGATGCTGGAGGTGAGACAAGCGGTGACACTGGAGGGAAGGGCAAAGCGCCAGAAGTTTCTCCGGAAGAGGAGAAATCCAGTGGGTCATCCAGACTGGCGGACACAAGGATTTTCTTGTGGTCAGTGTACTCCCGCGTGGCTTCGAATTTCTCTACGCAGGACCGCACTACTGGTAAGATCTTTGACAGCACCAAAGGATATCCTGGTGAAGGACCAAACAATGATGACAATCCTTCCTCTAAGGGGAACTTTCCCTGGATTTCAGAAGACTACCTCGACGAAGTGGTGTCAAAAAAGATGGAAAGGTCTTCAGAGATGGATGGGTTTGTTCCGGGAAGTGAGGGATCATTGGAAAAGGTAGAGGTGGAGAATGTCACTGCCTCTAAAATTCTTATGGCTCTTTGGAAGAAGGGACATAGAGTTGGGTTTAGAAGGTTGCGTCGTTTGAATGCATCTGGATGCAAGGTTGGAGCAATGAAACGTCCAATCAAAAGGGTGCAGAAGATTGGCGCTAGGAAGGCCTTCATGAAGATGTTCAATGTTTTTGGATCGTCTCAGCATGGCTCAGGAGTTGGCGGAAAACCGATCATGAAGGTGGTAGGACCAAGGCCAGGTTTTCCAGCTGTACTCCAAGCACCAAATACTGATAGCACGTCGGGTGAAGGGAGCAGTCCCCAGGTACATGGCAATGTTCATGTAGAGCACAGTCGCCCTATGGACCGGTATGAGGCAGAGCGCTTGGAGAAGAGGAAGAAGGGTTTCTGCTATTGGTTTGGCAAAGGGAAAGATCGCTGCAAATTTGGTGACGACTGCAAATTCATCCATTCCGAAGATGATGTGGTGCTACATTCATATTGGTGCAAGTACTATGTGGCAGGGAGAGAATGTTTCGCTGGAAAGGATTGTGAGTTCTCGCATGATGCAACTGGTGTGAGGTGCGTCCAGTTTGCTCGGTCTGGGAAGTGTCGGTTTGGTGACAGGTGTGTCTTTGGACATGAGGTTCCGTTGGAAAAACAGAGGCCAAGGTCTCCAAGGACGCCCCCAAGGGATGGTCCAAGGAGAAAGTCTGGTGCAAATGGTGGAAAAAAGGAGATCTCTCCTGAACAGTTCGGTGATGATGAGGAGGATTTTATGGTTTATGACGAAGAGACCAAGATGACGGAACTGTTGATGGAGGCGATTTCATTTCTGTCCAATGGCAAGTCAGATTTGGCTCGAGCAGAGGCGGACCCATTGTTCAAACTCCTGAAGATCACTGGAGATGCTGACTACATGGATCAAGTATGGGTTTCGTGGACCACTGAAATGTTGTCAGTGCTGGAACTTCTCGAAGTAGTGAAGTCGTACGATGTTTCGCTCGCGGAGGTGGAAGAATGGGTCAATGACCTGAGGATATGGTATGAGCGAGCCAATTTGGGAGAAGAAAAGGATCCCAAAAAAGGGAAAAAGAGGTCCCTAGAAGGGGAGTCCAGCAAAGATATTCCTGCCGAAAAAGAAGTGGTTGAGACTTCGGAGACGGAGGTTGCCGTTGAGGAGGAGAAGAAAAAGGTAAAAAAGAAGAGGAAAGCTGCAGCTATCGAAGATCCTTATACCCTCATGGTTCCAAAGCCGAAGAAGATGCCGGCGGTCATTGAGAAGGGTGGATCATCATCCAATGTGGTGGTTTCTGCAGTGGAAAAAGCCTCAAAAGCGCGCACAAAGTCAAATGTCGGTGGAAAGACAAAGAAGAAGGAGAAAAGTCAGAGTCCCAAAAAAGAAGAGGTGGTAATGGTGCAAGATCCTGAGGAAAAGGATCGTCCATCCGATGCGGAGGCACCAGGGTCTGCCAATGCGAATGAAGAGCTGGATCAATCTTGCCAGGCGATTGAGGATGCGAAGAGAGAAGGATTGGTATCCTCAATTCAAAGGGGCATACAGGATCCTATTCTTACGATTTCGGACCTGGAGTATATTCTGCTGCAACTTCACCTCAAGATTGCCAACAATCGGAAAAAGAAGTGATTGGATGGTATGGATGAAGGGATGGTTTTTCTCTTTCTGGAGACCGGTGCGCTGGAACAGCCAATGTGCTGACAAAGGTGGTGGTTACTATTAAGGGTATGGAAATCCCTGATAGTAGGAGTCAGTAGCTTTTCGCGTAGCGAAGACCACGGTTTGTGGTGAAGAAGGCCAAGGAGTCTTCAGTGATGAGAGGATCAAGGTGAAAAAAGATTCTCTATGAGTAGTAGGTTAGCCAATGTGCTATAATTCCGTCCTGGAAGACGTTAAACCACAATTTGCATTTCAAGCAGCTGGCTGCTGCCGTAATGGCAGTTTTTGGCCAAAAGATCTGCATCTCCAATGTGTCCTAGGAAATCCTAGGACAGGGGGAGTGCGGAGCTGCAATTGGTATTGTAGAAAGGAGTTAGTGTTGGAAGTTGGAAGGGTTAATGAACCCGGTAATCGTATTTGGCTCAAGATGGGCTTGAACAGAAAGCCACAAGTTCAAAAAGAAGTGCCTGGGTTCTTAGGGTTTGGTAAGGGTGTGGATTCCTTCCCCCTTTCCTTCCCCCCTGGGTTGCTCTTATCCGTGTTCTTGGTTGTCTCTTGGTTCGATCTGGGAAATATAAGTTCAGGGCGATTAGGGGAGTTGATTTCCTTCCTTGGTTGTCCCCCCGTACCCTAAACTCTAAACTCTGGACCCTGCAAATGGCACCTTGGGGAACCGGAGCGGTGAGGCAAAAGTTTAGGCAGAATTTGTCGAGGGTTTGCGAGTGTTGCCTTCGTGTGTTTTATTTGTTATAGTTCCCCACCCTCCGCGCCCGGTTGTTAAATTCTAAGTCAACCCCATGCTCCTCGGCTCCTCGCCTTTCTCGGCCTCTCTGTCCCGCCCAGTCTCCTGAGCCTTCATGGTCCTGGAGTGTGCACCCCAAAAAAGCCCGCAGAGAGTCCGGCCCAGAATCGTTAGAGATGCAGAGTGTTCCCAGGCAAGCCTGAAATCTCTCAGTGCACCCCCACCCCCCCCCACCCCCTTCTCCGTTTGGGTTGCCTCGATACAGCCGAGGTGGGTCACGTAGTGTTAAAATCACCTGTCCGAAAGCAGCAACGTGTTTCCCACATCAGGTGGCTGGAGGGTCGAAGTAAATAATGGCGTCTTTGTTCCAAATGGCTTAGGGTTGCACTAGGTTGCAGTCTGACCAGGATCATTTCGTCAATCCGATTGTCGGGCGCTCAGTCGCTCAGAGTATCTCTAGACAGGTGACAAAGTGTGCCAGATGCTGCTGAGCAAGCCAAGCACCCTCATGAGCTTCAGCCAATGCTGCTTTGACCTTTTGGCCTGTTGCCTTGGTGCCAGGTGGACGGTGACTATCCAGATCCGGGGGTGACCCGCATCGGCGGGTCCTACTACCTGGTGGCAACAGGCGGTGGTCAAGCAGGCACCTAGCAGCACTGAACCCAAACTCTAGAACATCAACATGCTTTGGCCTGAGCCTTGGCCGATGTGCATGTTTGGCTGAGTAGAAGTAGGTGCCTTCCGCATGCTCCGCTCTGCCGACCTCATCCACTGGGAGCCGTGCGGCCAGGCACCGCGAGTTTGCAGCTGCCCCGCCGCTAAGCCCCCAAACCTCTGAGCGGTCTTAGAGGTTTGCAAAACCCGCAACATCCATAAGTCGGGATGTTCCCCCTGTGCCAACGGGCCTCAATGGGGATGACAATCGGGGGTACTTCCCTATTAAGGAGCTGTTGGTACAAGGGGGGCTGTTCCCCTAAACCCTAAACCCCAAACCCCAAACCCTAAACCCCCTTGCATCCCAATCCATAAGTGTGGAGCTCTGCAGCCAGCAGGTGTTCTCCTCAGAGAGCCTACCTTGCTGGAGTGGCGGCGCACATGGTGAGCCGGGGTGCCTATCCGGACGGTCAGGGTCTAGGGTTTAGGGGGTTTGGGGTTTAGGGTTTAGGGTTGAGGGTTCAGGGTTCAGGGTTGAGGGTTGAGGGTTGAGGGTTGAGGGTTGAGGGTTTGGGGACTTTCTGGCTAGTACCTTTATCTCGCATCGCTCGGTAGCGTCGGGGCCGCATTGGGAATTCACGCTTTAGGGTGCCACATCGAATCCTTGGAAGATTTTCGTATGTTTTCGTTCTGGAGTTGTGGGAGTATGTCGGGCAGCCGCGGAGCTGCCAACAGCAGTCTAAATTCTTGGAGCAACTGGGTGTCGTGAGTTTTGAGCCCTCATGCAGAGACACCGACGCGCAGCGTCCACATTGGAGTTTTGCATTCACTGCTGGGCGTTCTGCCACTGATGCGTCCACATTGCTGCATTTTCGCCAACTGATGTGAGTGAAATCCATTCAACTGTTGAAATTGGGCTAGGTTTCAGGCGGTTCAGGGTTCGATTGCCAGGCCACAGCTCACCAAGTACAGGCTAGCTTGCGCACAGGCAGTCTGATCCCCATCCACCCTTCACAAGTACGAAGCAATGAATAAAAGGATCCTCCTCCTTCTGTCCACCCCTAAACCCTAAACCCTAAACCCTAAACCCTAAACCCTAAACCCTAAACCCTAAACCCTAAACCCTAAACCCTAAACCCTAAACCCTAAACCCTAAACCCTCTCGTTTCTTTTGGGAGTCAACGGAAAGTTTTCGGGAAGACGGGGGCCGGTCTGCGTAAGGAAGTGCGACTACTGGGCACCAGAGATGCACCAGTATCTCGTCAGATATCATCCCCTGAGCCTTCCGGATTGTGGGGCTTTGGGAGGTTTCTTCAACTTTTGCCGAAGACATCAGCAGCAAATTCGCAACCTTGCAGCACAGTGCAGGGTTCTGGTAAATCTGGCCCTGACACCCAACCCCGAACCCTTTCACCCTTAGCCCTAAACCCCTTAAAATTAGCACATTTTGAAACGCACCGAGGCTTCCTGATGGTCGCTCCGCGGTCTTCTTCAGTGCCCGAGAGCCCTCGCCCGGCAGAGCGTTGCACATAGGTGCCTGGGGCCGTTCATTCAGGGGCGATAAAGGGGCATTTGGGTCCTATGTAGACATGGAAGATCTGTGTTGGTACAATGTCTACCACAGATCAATTTCTTTCATGGTTCTAGAAATTACTGAAACAATTGAGCTGCGTTTTTTTCGGCGCTCGCGCATAGGTACTTTGCAGCGGACATTATTATTGTCCGCGGAAGGGGTGAAGAGGTGAACAAGATTCCGCGGAACGTCGCGGAAGGGTCCGCGGAAGGCGTGGTGTCCGCGGAAGGATCGCGGAAGGGCGGCGTGCTTGAAACTTAGGTATAATGGATGCCCAACATGCCGGCAACCGTTTCGGAGAGCGGATCTGCGCGGAAGGCCCGCGGAAGGGTTGCGGAAGCTCCTCGGAAGGCGACGGGTCGTTTTGGAGGCCTAGAGTCCATGCCTCATCCTCATATGTACACATTATACACTCATTTCTGTTTCGGGCCTTGTGCGAAGGTGCGAAGGCTCGCGGAAGGAACGCGGAACACGCCGCGGAAGGGTCCGCGGAAGGGTTATAATGTCCATCGATTCATGCGAGAGAAAAAACACGGCTCAATTGCGGTTGGCACAAGCGAAAACTACTCTGCTTCCAAGGCAAAAGTACATTTTTGCTCATGTCTACAGACAAAGGGAAGCGGTTCTGGATGCTTTCTTGTATTACTAGTACAGTTTGTATATTCTCTGAACAAGGGACAATTAGTCTTCCTGGACGACCAAACCGATGTGCGTAGCCTGGACTCAGTGTGATGTGTGCAGTCTCGAGGTGTTTACTTGAGTAAACTTGAGGACTGCAAAGCTATGTAGCATTTACTTCACAATTTGAGCCCCGAAAAGCAAGTGGTGTTGAAGCTTTTGCTGTTGTCCGGAGGTAATGAATCTGTCTTGCCATCCTAAAGGTGGTCCAAACCCTAAACTATAGGTGGTCACCGCCTGCCTTGGGGTATCCCACAGGGGGGGGATGATCATCCCCACAAACATGCCGTCTAACATGCCCCCCCCCCCAACTGAGGACAGAGAGAGAGAGATAGATACAGATAGAGAGAGAGAGAGAGAGAGAGAGAGAGAGAGAAGAGAGAAGAAGAAGAGAGAGAGAGAGAGATGGATGGATACAGAGAGATCAAGGGAAAGGGCGAGAGACATACAGAGCGGACAAGAGGACCTGAAAAAAGAGTGGAGAGAGGACAGATAGAGTCGAGAGGAAGCAAGGAGAGAGGTGGGCAGAGAGAGCGAGAGAGATCAAGCAGCTTCTTGGCCGCAAAGCATTTAATGCTTAGGGCTTAGGGGTTAGTTTAGGCCTTAAGGCCTTAGGCCTAGGACCTAGGGTTTAGGGTTTGGTTTTGGGTTTGAGCTTTACGGTTCAGTTTTTTTTGGTCTGGGGCCTCTGCCCTTTCAAAAGCCCTAAACCCGAAGCCCTAAACCCTAAACTCGGCTAAACCCCCTAAACTCGTTAAGCCCTACAGGCCCTAAAGGCCCTAAATTCCCAGAGGCCTAAACCCCCTAAACCACCTAAACCCCTTAAACCCTCCTTAACCCTAAACCTGAAGCCCTAAATCATAGGTCCAGGTAGGGATCGGCTGAGCGTGCGCTGTTAAGCCCTGCCCTAAATCCTCAATCCTAAACCCAAAGCCCTTAAGGATCGGCTGAGCGTGCGCCGTCAAGCCATAAAGGCCCTAAACCTAAAACCCTAAACCCGAGGCCCTAAACCCTAAACCCGAAGCCTTAAACCTTAGGGCCTAAGCCCGGGGCCCCCTAAGTAAGGATCGGCTGAGCGTGCGCCGTTAAGCCCTCGCCGCTAGTGGGTGTAAGTGTAGGCTTGAGGCTAGGGTATAAGGTCAGGGTACATGGGCTCCTTGGTCTTATGGGGTGCAGCCTTGCAGCAGCTTGAGTGCAGTGCTTGTCTGAAGCTTGAAGCTGGGTGGGAAGGCTAGTGTGGTTTCATCTTTCTCTAAGGTTATACGGCAGGGCTGGGAGGAGCAAGCCAGTCTGGCTACTGCCTTTTTTTGGCCAGGACTACAGGAAGAGCTTGTAGCTTCAGATCTTCTCAGACTTAATATGCCTTCAGGCTTTAAAGGGTCCAGCTATTCTGCGTGCAGCAGGAGCTGCAAGCCTAGAAAAACGTCTCTGGCAAGTAGCAGGTAGCAGTCCTTCGGAGTCTCTGTGCCAGCAGGAGAGAGACCCAAGGACTGGTGAAGGACTGCAGAAACAGCACCGCTGAAGGACTGCAGCAGTCCTGTTTCATTGAAACTTGCTGTTGCTCGAGCACCCAGTTTGCTGCTTCTGCCCTGCTGCAAGACTTGAAGACCTCAGATGCTGTGAGTAGCAAAGGACCATAGGCGGCCCTCTGCCTTCTGCCCTGCTGCAAGACTCGAAATCCGCCCGCGCTAGGAGCAGGTAAGGATCTCAGGCGGGCCTCTTAGACTCCAGGATTTGTTTTGGGGAGGGCAAAAGACGTGGGGTCCGTAGGATTGTCTGACGTGGGACCCGGACCCATTTTGCCGTTTATAGCGCGTGGGAACAAGAGTCATTTCGGCCGTTTTACAGGCGAAAACGCGTGGGACTCAGACCCATTTTGCCGTTTGACCGTGGGGTCCGGGCCCATTTCTCCGGTTTTTGTGCCGTTTTTGTAGCAAGCGAAAACGCGTGGGGTCCAGCAACTTCAAAAACAGGAGAAAACGCGTGGGGGCCCGGGCCAATTCAAAAGCAGGAGAAAACGCGCGGGTCCTGCAAATTCCGAAGAAGGCGAAAACGCATGGGGCCTTGCAACTTGAGAACTAGGAGAAAATGCGTGGCATCCCGAAAGAAAAGCCTTGGAGTCTAGAAGGCCTGGCCAAGGTCCTGATCTGCCTGGAGAATAGCTGGAGCCTCTAAAGCCTAAAGCCCTGAAGTCTGAGAGGCTCCGAAGCTACAAGCTCTTCCTGTCTTCCTGGCGAAAAAGCCAAGGCAAGCAGTAGCCAGACGGGCTCCTCCAAGTCCTGCCCCAGAGCCTTAAAAAAAGATGAAGCCACACGGGAAGGCCCGCGCAGCTTCAAGCTGGAAAAAGCACTATGCTGAAGAGGCAGCGCGGTCTTTTCCTCGGGACCCAGAAACAGTTCCTGCAGCTGACGGTTTGCTGCCTACACGCTTGCAGACAAGCTTCAAGACTTGCGGTGCTTGCAGCAGCCAGAAAGAGGCAGGCCCCTCATGGTTCTTAAGCCGTAAGCTTGGCTTTGTTTTTCTCAGCCACATAAACCCTTCATAGTCCTCCTGCGCAAGACAAAATGCAATTTCGGCAGCTGAAAAGTGCATTGGGCTTCTTGGAAGTTCTAGCCCGGTCTGCAGAAATACTTGATGACTTCTGCTGCTTGTGATGATATGAGAAAGCTAGCCAGGCCGCCAGGCCTAGCGGCTTTATCCGTTCTTCCTCAGCCAAAGAGACCCTGAATAGTCCTTTCCCACAAGACAAAATGCAATTTCGGCACCTGAAAAGTGCATTGGGCCTGTGTCATCAGCTAGCGAGGCATCTAACGGAGGCAAGGGCTTTTTAGGCCTGCCGTGCCTGTTTTAGGCTAGAAGAGCATCCAACAAGCCCAATGCACTTTTCACATGCTGAAATTGGGATTTCTCTTGTGCAAGTGCACAACTCAAGGTCTGTCTGACCGAGGAAACGATCGGGGCACGCCTAAAAAGCAGTAAGATGCCTGGATAGGCGTCTTACTTCATCAGTACAGAGAGAGACCGGCATTGAAAACTCAAAACACAGATAGAGAAAGAAGGTATAGAGATAGATGCAGACATGTAGAGAGAGAGACACAGAGAGAGAGAGAGAGACCGAGAGAGAGGGTTAGACAGACAGAGGCTGGCAGATAAAGAAATACAGAGACAGACAAGGGGGGGCAGGGGGGGGGGGGGGGGGGGGGGGGGGGGGAGGAGGGGGGAGAGGGGGATGGAGGGGGGAGAGGGGGATGGAGGGGGGAGGAGAGGGGGATGGAGGGGGGGGGGGGGGGCATGTTTAGGTGCACGTTTGAGGGGATGTTTGGGAGGACGATCATCCCTTTATACAAAGTAGTAAGCAAGGCAGGGTGGCGACCACCTATACCCTAAACCCTAAACCCTAAACCCTAAACCCTAAACCCTAAACCCTAAACCCCCTATGGGGCTTATTTTGAAGGGATCCATTGGCTCCTGTGAAGTTCTTGTGGCCGGGCCGCAGTGTGAGAACCATGGGCTGTTGGTTTAGGGTTTAGGGCCAGTTTAGGGTTTAGGGTTTAGGGTATAGGGTTCAGGGTTCAGGGTTTAGGGTTTAGGGTTTAGGGTTTAGGGTTTGGGCTTAGACAACAAAACAGGCAAAAGTGTTGGTGAGGTGCTCTGCTTAACTCGCCCCAGTGCATGGCCGAGTTGGGACCTTGTAGCCAGCCGGTTTATTTCAAACTGAGATGTGTTGTATTGACGTGCACATGTTTCCATTTCTGCACTTTGTCGAAGAAGAGATTGAAGACTGCCTGTCACAGGTGCGCAGCATGCGCTAGTCTGCTGCTGCAACTTGTCTTTACACAAGCTGCAGCTCAGGCGTCGCAACGGCGGATCATCCGGAGGGCCCATATCACGATTCTGGACAGCCATTGGTGAGCGACCCTCATTGGGCCATCGATGCGACTCTTGGAGTGCAGAACCAACTCACTTATCACAGATGAGCCCGGTCGAGATATTGCTAGAGCCTGGCCGGCTTGCGCCCTCAGCAAGTAGACACCCACGAGCTCTTTGAGCTTGAGGACCTACTTCTACGACAAGGGTACCGGCAAGCAGTACCTGCTCTGGAAGATCGACTTCAATGCCCACAGCGTGCCATCCGTCATCAAGATGCGAGCCTTCGCCAAACTTTCAGATCGCAGTCGGCGCGGTGTCAGTCGAAGCCGAAAGGCCGACCCAGAAAAGAGCCCCGCAAAGGGGGACCCGAATTCCGAACCACCCCCCACCCCCCCCCCCCCCCCCCCCCCCCCCCCCCCCCCAAACCAACCCCAAGCTTCTGGCACTGGAGGATGCCCTAAACCCTAAACTTCCCAAATTAAGGCCTAAACCCTAAACTTCCCAAACTAAGCCCTAAACCCTAAACTTCCCAAACTAAGCTCTAAACCCTAAACGTGAGCCATGTCAGCGCTAAGGAGAGCTCAATGCGGCTGGCGTGGCCCCGGCTGAGGGCTCAGAGGCCGTGGAGTTGATCTGCAATGACCTCCCCTGGGAAGGTCGGGGGGCATGAGAAGCCACACGCATCCCCGCAAGTTTGGGCTTGAGTTAAAGGATGTTTATAGGGTTCAGGGTTTAGGGTTTAGGGTTTAGGGTTTAGGGTTTAGGGTTTGGGGTTTAGGGTTTAGGGTTTAGGGTTTAGGGCAGGGTGTTGTTCGTTCCGGGGCAGGTAGAGCACATGGGCCTTCTTTGACCAGGCAAGGTGGTGGAGGGGCCCTTCCTGATCCAGCGTGGCCAGTACTACTACTTGCCCCAAGGCTTAAACGAGCTACCGGCATTCAAAAACTTCCTCTCTTGCCAGCCATGTTTCGCTCAGGTTCTACTCAGGCGAGTGCTATGCGAACCACCGGTACTGCGTGGGCGTTGCACGGGCAGAGCAGGCTGGGGATCCTCCAACAGATTGATAAGATTTGATAAGGTCGTGAAGCCCAAGAGCCTGATCAGTTAAAAAAAAACCCTAAACAGTTTAAAAAACAAAAAAAAACCTAAACCCTAAACCCTAAACCCTAAACCCTAAACCCTAAACCCTAAACCCTAAACCCTAAACCTAAACCCTAAGCCCTAAGTAGTCCGATCCCATCTGAAGGTCACTGGGCCTTATGAGAAGGCCGCCGCCCCTGTCCTTGCGAGCGGACGCGGCTTTGCGGGTCCCGGTCACTGTGTCGTCGTCGCCGCGCCTGGGGGGGATGTCCCTCGGAGGATGATTCATGGGTTTAGGGTTTAGGGTTTAGGGTTTTCGGTTTTCGGTTTTTGTGCAGGCGCGCTGGGGCACATGCATGTCAGCGCAGTCATGACAAAACGCCGGACTGTGAACTGAGAAAAAAATCATCATCGCAGTAGGATGTAGGTGTAGGCATTGGCCCAAATTAATCATGGTCGAATCGCTTCTGTAATCATTCTATAATGCCAATATACGTGCCACTTCTGCAGCTACGAGTCTTCATCTCAGACTTCGCAGCCCTGAGCCCGAATCCTCGACCCTGTCCCACACCCGAGCACCCAAGCAGATTCTGATCCTGACTTCAGTGTCTAAAGTAGCGTTTCATGGTTAAACCTTTGGATAAATGCGACCCCAACTGATATGCTCGGTAGGCCCTTGGGACATTTTGTATTTTCCCTGGTTGGGTTTAAGAGGACCATATTTAGGAATATTTTTCAGAGGGTTTTAAGGGCCACCCAAAACCCTAAACCCTAAACGCGTATGCCTCCCAGAGGTCATGGTATATCATGCCTGGCCTGCAGACAGCCCTGGTGGTCGCGGTGCGCGGGGCGCAAAGCGACAGGCGCAGCTTCTGCATCAAGGATGAGGGTTTAGGGTTTAGGGTTAGGGTTTAGGAGTATCAAACTTCTGTAGCTATTCTGCTTTGCGTGTCGTGCACACGTTGCTGCTCTGTGCTTGCTGTCGCACACGACGTCGCAAAGACACCTCTACTTGAGACTTGGAAGCATGTCCCAACATAGGCGCTGATTCAAGATGTCAGATATTTTGGGACCCTGGACTACAAACAGCATTTTTTACATGTAATGTAGAGATCACGCATCTGCACAGCTTGATCTCCGAAACCCATCTACACTAGAGTCACTATATGGAGGTCCTTGCATCTTCCCTCATGGGTAGCAGAAGGGTTCCCTTTTTAAAAGGTTGTGGTTCCGAGGGTCCACGAGGTGACCCATTTCTGTATCGCACGTGTTGTGTTGGCAAGAGCGTCCGCGGAGCGTCTGCGAAGCCTTCGTGAGTGTCGCACAGAGTCCATAAAGCGTCCGGGGTGCTCCCCCGTCAGCCTCTGTTTCTGGCAACCTGCTCGTGTGTGCGAGGTTGGTCTCTGAAGGAACCGTGTAAGGACATGTCTGAACCCTGGCTGCAGGTGGTGGCGAGAGTGCGTAAAACACCAACCGTCTCACGCCTGACACGCGCATGGGGAGAAAGCTCCTAGCGCTCAGCACAATAGGTGCAGGTCCCGAGGTTGTGTTGCCTATGAGGGTAGGTAATCGAAGGAAAGGGACATCAGCACTGTGTGCTTTTGGGCCGGAGCAGGACAGTCACAGGGCCCGCCCTGGAGGGGGGGGGGGGCTTCCCTGAAAAAACCCCCCTCTAGCCCGGCAGGAAGAAGGCCCCAAGCGGGAAAGAGAGAGAGAGAGAGAGAGAGAGCGAGCGAGCGAGCGAGAGAGATGTAGAGTGATAGATAGGGACAGAGATAGACATGCAGAAGACGTTGGTTCGGATTTCGTGTTCGTGCGTGGCGTCTGTCATCTTCGCAGTATATGTGACACCTGTCTGCATTCGGGTTCGTGGCCCCTGTCCTAGACACCATGTGCCATCTGGATCCAGGGCTCCTGGTGCTAAATTCACTACAAATACCTCCTAAACGTGCAGGGCTTCACCCAAAAGTGGTAAGTAAGTGGACCTTAAGCCTCAAGCCCCCAAAGGCGTAAAGGAGGGTTCAGGGTTTTGGATGCCCCAAAAATCCGATCATGGCGAGCTCAGATTTCTGGCCAACGGCGGTACTTGAGGACTCCAAGGTAGTTCCTAGCTTGGTTGATTCTTTCAATGATAGGAGCTATGTACACCCAGGAGACCAAAACCAAAAAGACCTTTAACTTTCGGCCTTTAAAGGCCGATACTATATCTATAAACTCTGTATGCAAGCACCTAAAACTGAAGGTTTTCGGGTCTAAGAGAAACCTTAGCCTGCACATCCCCGTGATGCTGGGCCCTCAGGTGCTGGCGGAGCGGGTCATCTGGGAGCGCACCATCGTGAGTCCCACGTTGAAGCGGCCAAGAGTAGAGGGTCAGAGTGGTTTAGGGTTTAGGGTTTAGGGTTTAGGGTTTAGGGTTTAGGGTTTAGGGTTTAGGGTTTAGGGTTTAGGGAAGGGGCTCTAGGGTCTACAGGTTTTGTGCCCCTGAGCCCGCGCTTGGAAGGAGGAGGGTTGGCCTTGTGTGGGCCTTGGCGTGCCGACAACTGGGCCACAGCCACTTGACAGGGTTCAGGTTTGGGGTCACGGTTTACGTCCCTAATTACAAACCCTTTAGCCCCCAAGGCATGGGGTGTACCTGGGAAGCTATTTACCTACGTTTTAGCAACTAGTTAGTTAGTATACCCCGATTTAGTAGGCATCACCCTTGAAACTCTAGGTAAATAGGGTCCCAGGAAGGGCTGGGCATCCGTTCCATTGTAGTCCCTTCACAATTATGCTAGAAGAACCCCCCAAAATGCTATTCTAATAATTCAGGTCCTACATTAGATCCCTGAACTTCAAAATCATGCGCGCGCGGAGGCGGTTATCGCCGATGCCTACGAGGTAGCGAAGGAAATACAAGAATAGTAGCAAAGTAGAACAAAGACCTCAGCTCTTCATTCCGGACCGACAGTTGTTTCGGCTTCATAGGGTTTTGAGTGTAAACGCATGGCTTGTCCTGAGCATCGGCCGAGGCCGTCGCCCCACCTCAACGTCGAACCGCAGCACCTGCTCAAACCAGGCCACATCCTCGGAAGCATCAGACGCCTATGAACTACTAGGATGCCCAGTAGTAGCCCTATTCCCTTTTTTGGGGGGCGGGTTTAGGTTCCCTCCCTGTAATCCTAGGTTACTGGGCAACCTCGACTAAGGTTTTGATTCTGTGTCGATTGGGGGTGGTTTTCTTAGTGCCAGGGGGCGGTCGGGGAGTTTAGGGAGTTTCAGGTGTTCGTGTGCAGGGTATCGTGGCTTCGGGCTTGTGAGGTAAACTCGTTGATTCTGATTGTGTCGTGATTTGATGCAGGAGCAGCTTGAAGCATTGGATCTTCAGAACTTCACGCGTAACTCCCAAGATCTTCACGCGGAACTCCTTGGCTGTGGGAGCCCCTGAAACGTTGGGGGCGGGGGGGGGGGGGGGGCATAAGTTCCCAAAAGGTGAGGTACTTGGAGGCTCTGTGGCAACATGAGGCAGTCGGGCTCCTTGACTCCTTAAGAGGTTCCAGCAAAGCTCAGGACAAGCTTACCGTCTCAAGGCCTTTCAGGACTGCGCGTGGTAGAGAGATTTGCGCTCTAACTGCAGCAAAAAACACTACCCAGTGGAGGACTGGGGTGCTTACCTGGGCTATGCGGGCAAGCTGACACCTTCCAAGGACGAGGCCATTGCATAATCTTTACAGGGCAGGGGTCCGGAGTACTTTCTGTCTAACAAGGAGCCGAACTATCCTGAACATTCGTCCACAAGTATCCCCCTACAATCTTTGCTGTATCCTGATGACAAATACCCCAAGCTCCCGTTCGAATTCAACTCGGCCCCTGGGTTACAGTGTCTACAATGCACTCACAGGGTCTGAAGCGTGCCCGGCTAACAATGAACTTTGTGCGCTTAGGGTTTACAGGGTGTAGGGCCCTAAGCCCTGCATCCTAAACTCAACGGACTATTCTAAACCCTCAACCACAAGCCCTTGCAGGCGTATGTCATCCGACCCGGCCTACGGCCTGGGGGAACGGTTAGCTTGGAGGCCAAGCCTGGATTTCGGGACCCACAACGGCACCCTTATTTTGCTGCTTTGGGTTGAGGGTAGAAGGGTTACAGCAGGTTAGGAGGTTGGTTGGTTCCCACCCCGAAGTGACTCTGCCGCAATCCAGATCCAGCCGTAACCTTTGACTGCGTAATGCACAGGGTCTTTTATAAACCCCACTAGACAACCCTAAGGGTCCGTGTACCTCATTGTTATGCACTTGGTCCCTAAAGTTCCTAAACAGGAGGTACTTTAAGGCCCAAGTATTCCCTATTTAGGTACATGGACCCTTATGGGGCAATAAAAATAAGAAAGGGTCTTGGCAGGCCGTTGCCCGCCCTGGTCACTTCATGAGGCCGGAAGGAGAGCAGTCCGATCAGCATGAGTCCTTGCCCTGGCGCTCCACGTTTTCGACCCACCGACTTTGGAGCCCTAAACCCTAAACCCTAAACCCTAAACCCTAAACCCTAAACCCTAAACCCTAAATGGGTTCATTTAATTTTTGAGCCCCTGAATCCAGTGTGCCTACGCTCTGCTGAGCCCAGCGGCCCTTGGGGCTTCCAGCAGCGTGGCGGGAACGGGACAATGCATCATACACCTTGCATCCTCCTTCAAGACCCGGTGCAACTTCGGCTGAGATCCTGGGTGCCCGAATCAAATTTTTGCGAGGCACCCTGACTAGAAACCCGACTTGCAGACCCGAACCCTAAACCCTAAACCCTAGACCCTAAACCCTAAACCCGAAACCTCAAATTCCGAGCCCATGTGTCGGAACTTGCTCAGAGCGCGTGCAACACGGCAGGCATCGGTGTGGCAAGCTGGAGCCGCTCGGCATCTGGAGCCCGAACTAGGGTTTAGGGTTTAGGGTTTAGGGTTTAGGGTTTAGGGTTTAGGGTTTAGGGTTTAGGGTTTAGGGTTTAGGGTTTAGGGTTTAGGGTTTAGGGTCCGAAATACGAAAGCTTTTGTTGTTTTGCGCGCTACTTGCACGTAGCAATCTCTCAGGTAAGCATATAATTACTGTTGAAAGAGCTTCCAAGAGCAGTTTAGTTGAAACCCTGGACCCGAACACCCCATTTCTTGTTAGGGTGTAGGCTTTAGGGTTTACCAGGCTCAATGTTGCCGAGCCTTCTCGCCTTTTTCAACTCGATGCCTCGTGGACGCTGGGCTGCTCATTCCAGTGTTGTGAGTTGGGCGGGTCTTTGTTTGAGGAGACGATATGTCATGGTGCGGTGAACCAAGTCTGGAAAACCCTGCACCAAGTGTGATTTTCCTATGCTGCAGCCACAGCTTTGCCCCAAACCCTCTAAACCTCACAATGCTACCCCTAAACCCTAAACCACTCCTAAACCCCAAACCCTAAACCCTAAATAGGCCCTTCAGAAAACACGGCAACTCTGAACCGCAAGCATGATTGCGGAAAGCAATGAGCGAGTGGAACGCTTAATCTAGGGGTCGGATTAATTTCTGATGGTATTCCCTCATGTCCCCTTTAAGATAGTACTAGAATGACCCCTCAAAACCCTCTTCAAATCATTCAGTAAGGCCTCTAGAGTACGTTTCCAGAAAAAAACCTGCTTGCGCGAAGCCGGGTTAAGGGAGGCTGTGCTCAGAACAGGAAGTCCCCTACGGCCCTAAGCCCTACATCCGAAACCCTTTCAGGCTCACTACAACCTGAACGCCCCACACCCGACGCCCGACCTGCAACCCTGAAACACTCAGCCCCATATGAGGGTTTCCGAAAATAGGGGTACTTTTTTGGGAGGGTCCCCTCTTCAAGGGGATTCTATTCTATTTTGGGTATAAACCCGGGTATCCCTTATATTGGGAAATACCCATAGACACCCTCTTCAGGATTGACGTTCCTGGGCTTGCAGGCAGCGGCCTCTCACTGAGGGCCGTGAACTTTCCGGACTCCGCAAGGGGTGGGGGCGTGGGGTTTGGGGTTTATAGTATTGGGGCTTCGGGGCTGTTAGTGCAGTCTAGGGCTGTCTGTCATGTCTTTGGAGTCTCGGGGCCTACTGTATTTGGCCGCAACCGAAGCATTCTTGAACCTTACCTGGCGACCCTATTTACCTACGATTCAGTTGTAGGTACCCCTATTTAGTAGGTACAACCCTGAAAACTGCAGGTAAATAGGGTCCCAGGTAAAGCAGGAATCATGGGTTGAAAGGGCGCTGGGGATTGCAAGTGTTTTTCCCCAATCCTTAAGCCCAAATCCTTAGCCCCTACTTCCTGCAGCCATTTGGCGGACAGGTGTGAGGTAGCATACAGAACAGGGCTTGACAGGCGCAACGATCCTCAAGGTCAGTAGAATCGCAGGCTCGTGCCTTGAGTCAAGTGTAGGGTTTACAAGATTAGGCTGTACAATCATGTCATCTCAGGGTCGATAGCTGTCAGACACGTAACTTTTTCAGATAACTTGAGGAGCAGCCCTCTGGCCAGGCTTAGGGCGTGGTCGAACAACGCGTCTTGTGGCCTCTGCTACATGGACGGCTCCAGTGCGGATGCCAGAGATGTTGCGCCAGCAGCCAGCAGTCGTGAAGCTCAGGCCCGCCCAGTCGAGCATCAATCCCATGATATCCCATGCAGCTCTTATTGCTATCAGGAGGTGAAGGGTGTAATTGCGTCCATTCGTGAGGCCCATGCCCAAACTACGGTATGTTTTGAGCATATTTGCCTACTAGTGCAACATACTGCACAAGGATGTAAGTAAGCCCTTAAACATCCTTAAACCCTACACACGACTCGTGCAAAACACCAACACATGAACTCAAAACTCAAACCCTAGTGCCAGTAGTAGCAGTAGCAGAAGTAGTGGTGGTAGCAGCAGTAGTGGTAGTGGTAGTGGTAGTGGTAGTGGTAGTGGTAGTGGTAGTGGTAGTGGTAGTGGTAGTGGTAGTGGTGGTAGTAGTGGTAGTAGTGGTAGTAGTGGTAGTAGTGGTAGTAGTGGTAGTAGTAGTAGTAGTAGTAGTAGTAGTAGTAGTAGTAGTAGTAGTAGTAAGTACAAGTACTAGTATTAGTACAAGTACTAGTATTAGTACAAGTACTAGTACAAGTACTAGTATTAGTACTAGTACTAGTACTTGTACTTGTACTAGCAGTGTAGGCCATGTTATTCTCCCAAAATTCTGTCCAGCGACAGCTCCCGCTTGCAGGCGCCGGGCGAGTGTCGCATCTTTGAAATCAATGTGAAGCAAATCGATGGCTCGAGCACGCCAGTCACCGTTCCTCGCCTACCCATTGTTACATTTTCCAAGAAAGGCATCACACAATGTGGACAGGCCAGGGTCGCAGAATTCGTTCCCCTTTGTGCCCAGGAAAGGTTTGAGTCCTCATGCTTTCAGAGGGTGGCGTAAAGAGCCCTGCATCCCAGCAAGCCTTTTCAGCTAATTGGCATGCAACGACCAAGACCCGAAGCCTAAACCCTAAACCATTCAAGGTCCGCTCCGGCCTCAGTGGCTGGGCACTAAAGGAGCTGCTGGCCGAAAAGCTCGGTGTACCTGCAGAAAGGCCGGAGCAGAATCGCCTTCTGGCGGGAGGGCGGGAGGGTGTTTGAAACTGAGACCCCGCACCTACGCGATTATTTTGATTCGTGTGAAAATAATAGCTGTTGTGAGTACGATGGTTATGATTGATCTGACCATTATGAATACTGGAACTATTGTGATGATGGTTATTATCATGCTCTTCGGTATCGTTTGTATGGCTGGTTTTGTCATGTAAAACTAGATTCATGACCAGAATCCTCGATGCAAAGCCAGGCAACGCTTGATCTGTCGGGGTCGTGCCATACAGGACCGGGCCACTCCAGCTGCTTTCCACTCCAGGAACAATAAAACCATAGTTCTTTTGCGAACCCTTCCTAACGCCCAGAAGTAGCAGCTCGGTTTCTCTGCTGCAAGCACACACCCAAACATAAGGTTTTATACGACGGGCCTTTGGGAGCTTACTAGGCTCTTCGTTGGCTTCTATGGTCATGGTACACGTCCCAGATCTTGAGCAGACCTCACTTTACAGACACTGCCCTTCTTAGCGAAGTGGCTGCCCTAAACCGTGCAACCGCCGTGCCGCAATTGTACAACCTCAGCATTGGTTGACTGCCTGTTGCTGTGCATCTTTCTCTAAGCTCCTCAGAGGACGCCTTCCAACTGCAGGGGTCTTCTGCGTACCCTGAACCCTGAACCACTAAGCCCCAAACGGTAAGCCGTCAACCCTTGACTACTAATAAGAAATAGTACTCCCTATATTACCCTTAATGAGGAAGAATGTTTCATGTTTTCGGGGTTCTTAAGCAATAAGTAGTTCACGTTGTCATTTCTCGATTTGATTTCATAGGACGACGATCCGCTGGATGCACACGTGACCCAAAATGGCCAAACTCTGCGACATGGCGAGGAATGCGGGTTTGTAGGGCATAGGGTTTAGGGCTTAGGGTTTAGGGTGAGTTTTGGCTGAAGGAGGTTGTTCTGCCCCTGCTTCCCTTGCTTTGCTTGAATGCGTCGGGAGTTGACGCCAGGCTTGCGATGGGCTTCTGATGTGTCCAAGGGCCCCTTGAAGTACAGAGCCCGGTCAAGAGGTCAGTTACAGAAGCTGGCAAAGCACATTTCCAGGCACATGGTCCAGCGCCCACTTGACCCAATCCGCTCCGACAGCGGAGCCAGCGGAGCTTCAAGCAGCCGGGGGCCAAGCCGGCGGCATGAAGCTACGAAGATCACCATGGATCCTAAAACCTTTTCAAGCGCCAAAAGCCAGAAACAGAAGTTGGGGGCCCAGAGAATGCCAAGGCAACGCCCCGGCCCCTCCGGGGCCGGGTTTCCCTTTCAACCTCCCGGTCTTCCAGCATCCTGGCTACAGGGTGTGAGGTAAACTCGTGACAACTTGTTGGTCACATCTGTTAGTTGATACAGTAATATAGTTATTCACATTTAGAGACATGTCCACGGTGAGCCACTTAAGCGGCCCTTCCATGTTCAAGTCCACAAGAGCCCGGCAAAGGAATGGACCACCACCATTCGGCCCGCCGCCGCCGCCGCACGCGATCCATGTCGTGGCACCTCTTGGGGCGGGGGGGGGGTTGAGCCGAAGCTGTAAAACCCCCCTAGACCTGTGTGGCGCTGTGCGGGGCTGGCTGGACTTCTTTGAAGGCTTCAGGCCCACAAATGTCGAGGCACGCTTCGAGACTTCGGGAAATTCGGCTGCCTAAGACCTAGAGGAAGTCGTCCCCGGAGCAGAAGTTCGAAGAGTTGTTCTGAAAGCCACCCGCCCTTCAGAATTGACGTGAGTAAGGGTACGCCTGAAGGCTCCCATGCCGCACCCAGAGATGCCACAAGGACTGGGGTTTCAAGCGCTCAATATGATTTAGTTGGGGGGGAAGGGGGGTGGGGGGGCGGGGGGGATCATAGTGTAATCTGCGATAATTGTTCTACCTATATGTAGGTGTTTTATATGTACACATTCATCTTTATGATGCATATGCTCAAGCCTACATGTCTTTGTATGAATGCAGATATATCGTAGCACTAGTAGTAGAAGCAATCGATGTTTAGGGCATATATACAGTACTGTGAGATGGTATAGTATAGTTTCGTTTATTGTAGTATGTGTTTCTTTTCTATGCGATACACGCACACACACACACACTCTCTCTATACATATATGTAGATATATATATATATATATATGTATATATAGATATGTATGTAGATATCGTTATAGTTAACATATATATATATATATTTATTTATTTATATTATATTATATTGTTCTATATGCTACGTTTATATGCATTTTATCTTGCGTGTTTAATCTTTTGTTTTATAGAGGTTCGTTGTATTAGAGCTTCTATTGTTATACCAGTTTTCCAGTATACTGCGTTATGCACCGTAATATTTAAATTTATGTGCTCTATATATATATATATATATACATATACACCTATACATGTATCTATTTAGATTTAGACATGTATATATGTGTATATATGTGTATATATGTGTATATTGTGTGTGTGTGTGTTCTATGTGGCTTGAAACCCGACACCTGAAGCCCAGAGTTCTGGCTCCGAGCATTTAGTGCGGAGACCGTTTCTTTTGGCCGACATGCCGGCCCAGCCTGGGCGATTCTCGTTGCGGAAGCCCCAGGTGTGGACCAGTGACCAGCAGATAAACTCAGGATGGCTCGGGCCACGCGCCTGCCAGGAATACAGCGAGAAGTGGGTGAAGGAGTTTAGCGGGACCACGGAGGTGAAGTACTCCCACTTCCTCATGCAATCTGTGGACCAGGAGTTGATTAACAAGATCGAGTGTGCCCTTGACCTCCTCCATATGTATCTAGGACCGGGAGTAGGCCCTTTTTTCCCTTTTTTGGGGTTGGGATCCCCTTTTCAACCCCCTTAAAAACCAAAAAGGGTACCCCTTTTAATTCCTAGGTGACTCCCGGGTCTAGGTATACAAAGAAGAGGGACAAGCCAGCAGTGGACCTGCTGCCTCTTCCCGCCTCGGTTCCCTCCTTCGGAGAAGCTTGGTAGCCCCGTGGAGCCCTTTTCCTTTTTTTTCGGTTCGGGTTCACTAAAACAAAGTAACCAACCAAAAAAAGGGTGCCCTTATTACAAGATGGTTGCTGGGCTACTAAGGAAACCACCGGCCGGAGCAAAGTAGCCTCGATTCTTCGGGCCTTCGCCGCTTGGAAGCCCAACATCGGCTATCAGGCTGACCTCGCGCTGATGGCGGCGCACATCATGTCTGTAGCTTAGTAGCCCAAAGGTTTAGGGTTTAGGGTTTAGGGTTTAGGGTTTAGGGTTTAGGGTTTAGGGTTTAGGGTTTAGGGTTGGTAGCCCAGTGGTACCCTTTACCCTTTTCTTGGTTATGGGTTCCCTTATAAAATAGCCAACCCAAAAAAGGGTGCCCTTATCATAATATGGTTACTGGGCTGCTAAGGTAGCTGGCAATGAGCGGGTGACCTTTCAGGCCTTGACCACCGTGTACCAGAAGTATCATCTGCAAGACTATTTTGAGGGCACAGAGACACGTAGAGCAATCCAAGTTGACGCGGCCAAGACGTGGGCTGCGGCACGAGTGAATTTCCCAGACTTGGCCTTTGCATTCAGCCGTTTTGGCCAGGCGGCGCTTTTTCAGGCCGCAGCATCGTCGCTGCTGTCGACGTTGCTGACTCGGACTTGCCGTCCAGCCATGCAGCCCTTCGAGTATCATGTTCGACTGCTGCACAGCTTCCTGCTTCCGCCCGGAGAGTACGACCCCGCAGATCCTCGAGTGCAGTTTCGACGACTGGTGTTGATCATCATGGCAAGGCATGAGGGCCCGCTTCTACGATGCAGGAATGACGCCGAGCTCATGACAATGGTAGAGGATATTGTGACGTTCGTTCGTGTGGACAGTACCTTGCTCGAGATGCTGAAGCGCGCAGACCAGGTGTGTGAGACCCCTCGTGGTCCCTTGTGGCCGTCCGCGCTGCTGGGTGGCTTGGGTGCTCTCCTGGCCCACGACATGTCAAGCCCATTGGGTTTGGTAGCAAGTCTCGCCTTCACAACTGGCGGGGCTGCCTCCGGCTTCATCTTCGGATCGTTGCAGTCGGCGGTGTGGAGCACTGAAGCAGCGGTCCTCAGGAACCGAGCCGGGCTGCTTTCCGGCAACAATGCAGATGTAAGCGAGGATGAGGCAGAGCAGGAGGCCTCGGAAAGGCCTCATCCCTCATAGCCTGCGGGCAGACGTTTCAAGCAATTTTAATTCAGACTTTGGGGCTCCAAAAAGGTTGCGGCCCTACATACCGGTCTGGCCATTGGTGGACAGTCCTATGTGTATGGGCTATTATGGGCCAGATGGGCCCTGGCTCAGAGTTGCCTTGAAGCCGACGAGCCCTGGCTTCTAGTTACCTTGAAAGGTCCCAACACAAAAGAAAGCTTGTCTTGCATTCTTGCTTCCGCCTGTGCAATCCCGAGCCCCTCATGCCCGAACCTTACATGGCTTTAGGTGACCTTTCGCTTTTAACGAACTGGCAGTGACGTGGCAGACAGCTTATGCTCGATGGCTGCCATACGTGAAAGAGTTGCGCAGCTTTTGCTTGGGGACGGGAACATACTGGTGGTGGTCGTGACAAACAGGCAAACACTTGATTTCAAAAGGGCTTGGCCCGGCGACTTCCAAGCTGAAGTTCCACCTACCTTGAGCCTTTGCCCCTGCATCCGACGAATCCAAAGGGTTTGAGCCAGGAATTGGGTCGTTCTTTGCCGGCCCACATCCTGGCATGGCCATGCCACTGGCAATGCCGGGTCCCATTCCGCAGGTTGGCGTCGGTGCGGTTTGAGGGCTTCGGGTGTTTGGGTCTTAGTCTGGGACCCTGTCGTTTTGGGAAGATTTCAGCTGACATGCATGCAGGTGGTGCCGCCGATGCCGCAGCCGTCCTATGTGCCACCGGTGCTGCAGCAGCCACCGCAGGGCTCAGAAACCACACCTCCAGCAGCACCAGCAGCACGGCCCCAACTGCCTCAGACCCCGCAGCTGGGCCCACAGGGCCAGCCCCACAGCCAGCCGCAGGCCCCCGCAGGCCGATGCTTGATGATGCTTGTGCAGAGTGCGGACATATAGTGATACTGTACTGTACTGGGAATTGTCGCTGGGAGCAGAGGTCCTGAAGTGGCCGGCCTGGCAAGCATGAGCGGACCGGTGATGTTCGCGTGCCTTAGCCCTCAATTCAATGTGCTCTTGCTGCGGGTTTAGGGTTTAGGCAACGGTTTAGGGTTTAGGGTTTAGGGTTTAGGGTTTAGGGTTTAGGGTTTAGGGGTTTAGGCGGCTCGGTTCACCGCGTTCACCTTCGCGGGACAGAAACTCATCGTGTCGATACCGAGCTAGAATCTGGAGCTTCTCTTGCGCCATCCCAAGTAATTTGAAACAGATGACACACCCGAAGCCCCAAAGGACACAAAGCCCAGAAGTCCTGCAAGCCGTACACAGCGTATATAGTCCCCGAAACCCTAAACCCTAAACCCTAAACCCTAAACCCTAAACCCTAAACCCTAAACCCTAAACCCTAAACCACCATAGCCCCAGAAGCCGACCCCCTTCGCTGAGACCCCCTGGCGCCGTGCGGGCCATGCCGGTTCCGGTCAAGAGCCCGCCCATCTTTCAGATGCCAGGAGCCCACTTTAGTCCCCGGGTTTAGGGTTTAGGGTTTAGGGTTTAGGGTTTAGGGTTTAGGGTTTAGGGTTTAGGGTTTAGGGTTTAGGGTTTAGGGTTTAGGGTTTAGGGACTCTATCCTATGCTAGGTTAGGCCCTGGGGATATGACTTTCCCTTATTGGGTTTAAGAGGTTCATCTTTAGGAGTCTTTTTTCAAATGGTTTTCGGGGCCATCCGAGTATGGTACCTCATAGTTACACCTAGTCCTGGTCTTTGAGCAGGCTTTTGCTTTGGCTTATAAACTCGCTTTGTGAAGGTTGAAAAGGGTTGCACATGTTGATGGAATCTACTTACCGGCTTACTGTCACAGCCTTCACCCGCAATTGCTGATGTTCTGTATCTGCCCACAGTAGCTGAGCCATGGCTGATCCAGGAGCTCCTGTTCACAAAGCGCCAGCACCCTTCCCCTACTATGCCCCGCCCTTCGGCGTCGCGACGGCCGGACAATTCATGCCTGCCCACGCCGTGCCGATGCCACCGCCGACGCTGCACGGCTGAGATTCAACATCGCCCAGCCTATATAGCCCGCTTACGATATTTTTGTTATATAAAACCGATAACCTACAGAAACCCTTATAGGATTCTTAGGTACCAACAACCTACCAGAAGCCCGTATAGGATTCTTAGGTACAAGTAACCTACAGAAGCCCTTATAGGGCAGCTCATGCCAAGGCCCGCGATGCCCCCGTTTGCTCACTTCGCGCCTGTTCAGCGCTTCGGACCTGCATCTGCGGAAGCTTTAAGGCCTAAACCTTAAACCCTAAACCCTTAACCTTAAACCCTAAACCTTAAACCCTAAACCCTAAACCTTAAGCCCCAAACCCCAAACCCCAAACCCCAAACCCCAAACCCTTAAACTCTAAACTCCGAGCCGGGTGGGGGGGGGGGACGGTTCTTAAGCAATTAGTAGAATAAGGACCCTAATTTAGAGAACTACCCACATTAACAAAGAGTAGCCGGTGTCACTTGGAAGTTCATGGTACTTATTAACCAATTATAACTTATAACTGTACTTATAACCATCTTAGGGCACTTAAGGGGCTTATGAGTGGGTTTTTAAGTACAGTTACAATTGGCTAATAAGTACCATGAACCTCCAAGCAGAGCTCACAAGCCTTGGTGCACTTGGGCAGTCCATGAGTGTGTTTTTGCCTGTTCGCAGGATTTCCGGGGTTCAGGGGCCCCCGACAAAAAAACACACACACACACACACACACACACACACACACACACACACACACACACACACACACACACACACACACACACACACACACACACACACACACACACACACACACACACACCCCCCCACACACACACACACACACACACACACACACACACACACACACACACACACACACACACACACACACACACACACACACACACACACACACACACACACACACACACACACACACACACACACACACACACACACACGCACACACACATAAAAAAGAAAAAAAACATAAATGCAGAATTATCAGCAGTATTCTTGGATTTTTGGGTGGCTCTTAGGCGAATGGTAGATAAGTAGATTGGGGTCCTCGTTATAAGGGTGCCGTACTACATAAAGAACCCCAAAAAAGCACCCTAATTTAGAAAAGTGCCCATTTGTCAAAGGAGAACCATCCAGTACTCAAGCTTCTTTCACCGGGCTTAGCTCACGCTTCAATGCCACTGGGTCGCCGAGTGCTGCAAAACACAATACGGCTGTACGGAAACCGCTTCAATCCCAAGTAACTTAAAGCGCCCCCCCCCCCCCCCCCCGAAACCCGGCAAAGCTAACCCAGCCACCTTCCACCCCTGCTAATTCATGTTTAAGGGGCTTAGGGTTTGTAGATATGCGGTGAGGGGCTGATGATGATCACTATCGCAGCCCGCAACACAACCTTTGGCGCAATCGGCTTTGACTACCACGCTGTACACTCAAAGGCTCCAAAACGTAGGTTTTAGGGTTTAGAGTTTAGGGTTTAGGGTTTGGGGTTTAGGGTTTAGGGTTTAGGGTGTATTCCCGGAGTTTCTCTGAGCTAGCCATTTTAAGCTGCTTGCAGGTCCTCGATGCAATTCTGGGTGCAGCAGGGATTGGGCCACCTCGCTGCGGCCGATCCCTTCCAAGGCGCCTGACGGTAGGAGGTTTAGGGTTTAGGGTTTAGGGTTTAGGGTTTAGGGCTTAGGGTTTAGGGTTTAGGGTTTAGGGTTATGCGCTGCCGACTTTTCTGTTAAGCAAAGGAGACAGGGATGAAGCACACTGAGCACACATTGCGCAGCCGTCAGCAGCCACCAAATGTTGGGTCTTCTGGGAGCAGCTCATTGAATCCAAGGAAATTCCTTCGAAATCCTTTGTGTTTGTGGGCGAGGGGCGGTGTGGTCTACATCGTGGTGCATATACATATAGATGTATACATATGTATATACATATACATATCTATCAATAAATAAATACATATATATATATAGAAAGATACATATAATGTAATATACCTCAACATCTCCTGGGCCTCTGGATGGCCAGCTCATACCAATGACGTGCGGGGTGCCCTCTGGCCTTGGACTTCATGAACTTAATTCCGCTTGTCATACCGAGGGAGAAGACTACATGGTGCATAGGCTTAGTCGTAGGGATACTTGGGAACTATGTTTCCTACGGAACACACAGAAACCATAATTTTTGGGTCTAGGAAGTCCTAGAGTAGTACGAGGCTTTAGTTGTAAAGGAGCGAAGGAGGTATCGAAAGTGCCTAGAGTCTCTAGAAAATGGGTCTTGAAGGCCATTTTGGAATGAGGGAACAAAACAGGAGTGACGGATTCGTGCTAGTCGACTCGGTTAAGAGGGCGGAGTATAAAAGAATCCGGGTCAGATTCGAGAAGACACGCTGCAAGTATGTATTGTGTCTCGCCCTGCCCTGCGCACCAAGGAGGAGTGCTGAACGTATTGCCGCATGTCAGTCCTAGGTTGTAAGCTGTGAGGCAACCTAGCTTTCAGGCGCTAGGTACCCTATCAGGCATCAGCGATTTGTTTCTTGGTGTGTTCTGGCTCTTACTGCAGGAGAAGGCTACGAAGTAATTCCTTCAACCATGTCTGCACTGCTAGCCTGAAAAGTATGAAGATGCACGCTGTGCAAAGAAGATTTGCTTGCCGGGTTTTGGATGTTTGTTGCTTCTGTAGGGCAATCCGGTCCCAGCCACCTCTGAGAAGCGTCGACTACGCAAAAGGATGCTGCTAACCACCTTAAACCATTTGCCTGAAAACGCCGAAAAAGCTTCAGCTTGAGGGTCTTATATGGGCAATTTCTTACCTAGGGCTCTGAAAGAGTGTTCGTTCAGGGTTGGAGAATAAGTACAACATGTGGGATGACATGCGGGAACCACTTCTAAACGCGTCCTGTAGTCCCTTACAAGGCCCTGCGTTGCAACAATCCCCACCGCGGTGCGCCTATACATTGCTTAGGGTTTAGGGTTCAGGCTTTAGGGTTTAGGCTTTAGGGTTTAGGGTTTAGGGTTTAGGCTTTAGGGTTTAGGGTTTAGGGTTTAGGCTAGAAGCTGCGAAACCCCACAGGTCTGATGCCCCATCTCATGGGACCGGGTGCCCCGGAGATGGAGGAGAACGGCCTGGAGGTGGGCATTTTAGTGCCATGAATGCTGGCTTGTGGGTTGGCTTGGCTTCCCGGCTCTTGTCTGTCACAAGTTTGGGATGTGGTGTCGAAGAGTAGGGCTTCTAGGATGCAGAGGCTTGGGGGCTCGAGGATCCAGAGGTTTAGAGGGTGCAGCGCATCTAGAGAATCCAGAGGTTCAGGATTCAGGTACGCATCTAGTCAACTGAAGTCGAGACCCTGTTAGCCCTAAACCTCTAAAGGCCTCCAACACAAAACCTTAACATGCCCCACGAATCCTACTAAACGCTAAACCCTAAACCCCTAAACCCCTAAACCCTAAACCCTAAACCCTAAACCCTAAACCCTAAACCCTACGTAACCTAAACCCTAAACCCCACAGGGCCGCGGACCGCAGCCTCCTATCCCTCCTTCACCGCGGGAGCGCGAGCCGCCCTCTCATCTGCCCTGGCGCCACCCGGCTGCATGTAGGGTTTAGGGTTTAGGGTTTAGGGTTTAGGGTTTAGGGTTTAGGGTTTAGGGTTTAGGGTTTGGGTTTGGGGTTTTGGGGTGTAGGCTGTACTTGGAGGTTCATGGATAGACTTAGGGTACTTATCAAGCTACTCAAAACAGCCTATGAACCTCCAGGTGGGGGTTCGGGCTTAGGGTTGCGCGCTTTGTCCTCATGGGAAACTTTGTTTCTGCTCTGTTTCTTACCACTGATGTGGACCCTGCACTGCTGTTCATGCTACTGGCCTGCTGTTGCGCTGTTGCCAGTGTTCGCGTTTCCTTGTGCCTGTTTTTCAGATCATCTGACTGCTGGTTGTGCTTATTCTTGTCGTGGATGTCACTCTCCTCCTCACAGCTCCCATATTTTTGTTATCTTCGTCTTCGTCGTCTTGCTACAGTGGTGGTCGCCTTGGTCGTTGCGATTGCGGTGGTCGCCCCAAAGCATCTTCTGCACTGTGAACCTGAAACACCACACTATCAGACTGCCCTAAACCCTAATCCCTGAAACCTCCCTAGACCCAACACCCTAAGCCCTAAACCCTAAACCCTGAACCCTAAACCCTAAACCCTAAGTCCAGGCGAGATCTGCCGTTTGCACTTGCACCTGTCGCGAGCCCTGGGCCGTCCCAGCATGCCGCAGCTGACGCCACCGCCCCCCAGCGTCTGGGCAGATGTTCAGTTATAGTATAAGGTTTCGGGTATCCTATACTGTCGCCTGAAACCGTCGAACCGCTGCCAAAGAAATTGGAAAGTGAAGCAGAGACCACAGTCATTCCCCGTGTTCAGTTTGGTTGTCATGCTACACCTCAGGCAGCTTTTCGAATGAGTTGAGCTACTACCTGTGCCCTGGCCAGCAGTGGCACAGCGTCAGCTCCGGGGCCAATGAGTGGTCAGGGCCGAGCATCCCATCATGGGAGTCATGGGAGTCCGTGTCTGACAAAGAATCCGTGTAGACAATTCGTCCCTGCCCTGAATCCTGGCCTCAACACCTCTGCGAGACTTGGTTCTAAAGTGCTCCTGGAATCCTGAACCCCGCACACATCGACCTGAAACGAAACACGCGACTTCATCAGGTCCCTTCTTCATTCAAGTACCAGCCAGCTGGGCGTGGCGATCAGCGCTACTCAGCTGACAGCCGCACAGTGGGTTTGGGGACGAAGTCGGTTGATGCTACTGCCATCGCTTTGTGAGTTGGAGCATGACGAGGGCATGATTCATAAGGATCCTGCGACAGTTCTTCTATCAGAGCTTCTGCACTTACGGTCTACAGGCACCTAATGCTACTTTGTCCTTTTCGAAGGCCCTAGCAAATGAGAGGTCTTTCAGATAGACAGGAAATTGACAACTAATTTGAATCCCTTACTAAACCCTAAACCCTAAACCCTAAACTCTGACAGGGTCAGTCTGGCCTTACGAACCGCTAGGGTTTTTGTCGGTAAGATTGCGCAGAAGGTTCCCCGGTAGTGGTCTAGGACTCAGAGTAGCACCTTGTTCTTTTCTCTTTTTTTGTGGTGGTAGAAGGAAGGGATTGGGTGGGATTGGGTTCTCTTATAGGCCCCTTTGAACCCAAAAGGGCACCCTTGTCCATTCCTAGCTTACTCCGCGAAGGACATCCAAAGGGCAATGGCCGAAGACGGGCCTACGGCGAGGCGCCGAATGCTTGCACGGAAGACGGCGGTTTTCAAATGCAGGGGGGTGTGGGAGGGTTTCCCAAATTTAGGGGTACCCTATATTGGGGTCCTGATTAGAAGGGCATCCTACTACTTGGGGGTGTAAATTAGGGGCCCTCCCAAGATGGTCAGAAGTACAGCACTGCTGCTTCGAGCCTGAGCATGCCTCTGCCGAATTGAAGCTCCCAACCATGCTCCGTTGAGTTCCGAGGTCCCCCCATGGTGCTTCTCCCACTCACGAGCATGGGCGCGTCGGTTTCTTATCAGCTCTTCTCTCTGTGGCAAAAAGCCACTGCTTGCCAATCCCTTCCCCTTTGTTTCAAACCCACCCATACTTGCCAGCAAAAACAAGTTCGGGCCTGGCGGATGCCACATGCAAGAACATTGCAGCTTTGTAATGAGGGACCTTAGGGGTCATTTAGGGTTTTGGGTTATTCGGGGGCCACTGGAACTATATCAGGTATAGGATTAGACCAGGGTCGGACCCCATCGTTCTGGAGCTTCTGGATTGAATTTGAGCATATAGTTTCCGAGCCTGCCCCGATTGTCAAGTTGGTCTCAGTATGTGTCGTATTCGGGGGAGCCATCCGTCCGCAGGCAGCGAGCGAACTTCACCGACACCCTCTCCTCAGCGAGTCGCACGTTCCGCTCACTCCACCGCGCGCTGCGCAACGCCCCGCCAGGCAAGGACCCTACACCCCAAACCCTAATTTCCCGAAACTCCAAACTCCAAACCCCGAACCCAACCCCCCTTGGCCTTAAATGACCCGACCCCAAACCGCCCAAACACCTAATTAAGCTAAGCAACAACCCTAAGCCTCAAAGACCATCGGCCACGAGGTCCCAATGGACATGACCTATAGAACCTATAGATTGAACTGAAGTGTGAGGATGCCCAGCGGCCTTTTAGCCTTGAGTTCTGTTAGGGTTTAGGGATTTAGGGTTTAGGGTTTAGGGTTTAGGGTTTGGGGTTTGGGGTTTAGGGTTTAGGGTTTAGGGTTAGGAAACTGGACAAGCAAGCTGACAACGTGGACCGCAAAGGGAGAATGCTTGGATCATGAGGGTTTCGATTTCCAGCTGGACCCTAAATCCTACAGGGCTGCTTGGGCCAAGTCGGAGAAGCACATCAGCCGACCCTGAGCACTCTCCTGAAAAGCAGCCAACGGACCTGGTCAAATCACCCTCAAACACCTGAAGTCCTCAACTGATCAAACTGTCAGAAGTCATTGATTTAAACTTGTATAGTGCGTTGAACCTGCCTTATTGGGGCAACTCCGCCGCGCAGATGGCGATTCGGCGCCAGAGTCCACAACCCTCCCGGACGAGGAGCGAAATTTGTGGATGTGGTGTTTCATGCGGGGTCGGAATAAGTACGGATGATATTCCCTTACGGTCCCTATACAATTAAACGATAATGACGCCCAAAACCCCATTCGAAACATTAAGGCCATGTAATACAGGGTTCAGGGGAAGAGGTCCGGGTTCAGCGTTCTGTGCGCGTGCCGCGATGTTCAGGCGCGGCCCGTTTTTCGCAGACGACTGAGAAGGGGCACCTTTGTCGAGCAGAACGGCAAACCCTATAAAACCCTATACGCCCTATAGACCTTGAACCCTAAACCCCGGACCCTATCTTGAGGAGCTCCGAGGAAGGAAGTAGAGTCATATAATAACACTGGATCTTGCGGAACAGAACTTGAAGCTAGCTCCAGAGAAACTGGTGCTTTGTGCGCAGAATTTTCGGGTTCAGTCCACAATTATACCATTGCAGTTGTTCATTTTCTATGTAAATGGGGCTTTCAATGCCAGGAGGGAGAGGAAGAGGAGCTGCCCATGGCGCTCGATGAGGAATTACGCGCCGGGACCGAAAGGTTGTTTTATGAGCAAGCGCCCCCAGCCCCCAGCCATTCAAATAAGTAAGGGTGGACACGAATGCCCAAAACCCTGTAAAACGATGGGAACACTTGAAAAAGCTGATATTAGCAAGTTGGGGAGTTTGGGGGGAGACTCTTGGAGGTTTTTTTCGCTGCCCTAGTAGTAGAGTAGGTAACCTTGAACCTCTTTGGCGTAATAAGATCCCCTTAAACTCCCAAAGGTTGACCTTTAGTTCCCCCAGATTTCTGGACAACTCAGCTGTTCAGCTCGGGCCGGTAACGAACAAGGATGCCAACCACGATACCATTGATGCAGGACCTGATAGCTCTCTCCTGATGAAAAAAAACCTTCCAGTATCCAAAGCAGCGGGAACGAACGTCTCCAATCATATGCATGTGCCCTGTGGCCTGACCCATGCGAAACCTGCAGGCTTGATTTGTTAACCCCCAAAGTCGCTTGGTCCTCCAAGCTTCTTCCTGAAGCACAGCTGCGCCAATGAGGTGACGCGGACTACGAAACAAGCGGCCGAAGCTTGCTACTTGTCTACAAGCGTGCCTGTTCCTGTAGTAATCTTCACGCACTCCCTTCTGCAGCTATTTGAACCTGCCAGGGAGCCAATACCCCTACATAAGCCCTTGAAGCCTTGAAGTCCTTTTAGGGTTGCTAATGTACTTCGGTCGCCTCCCCCGGGAAAGTTCTGATTCGGGGGGGGGGGGGCGGTGGCACCTCAGAAATACTAAACCCTAAACCCTAAACCCTAAACCCTAAACCCTAAGCCCTAAGCCTAAACCCTAAACCCTAAACCCTAAACCCTAAACCCTAAACCCTAAACCCTAGAGTAGTGGGATGGGGCACTTCCGGGATAACTCGGCGGCACACTTTTGGCTGTGCGCACTCCGGGGTGTTTACCCGGCAAACTTCTCTAAAATAGCACTGAGGGATACTGGGCGGGACGAACTCCGAGCTTCTCTGGGGGGTGGGCGCTCCAGGGCGCTTTATAGTCAGGCGGACCCTGCGCGCACTCCGGAAACACTTCAGGGATATTCGAATCTGTCGCCGTTGGCCAGCGACGCGGCTTTGAAAGGGGCACTCCAGGGATGCGCGGCGATTCTTCAACACTCTCCGTGAGAAGTGACTAAAAACTAACGACCGCACTCGAGGGTGGGGTAAAGAGTATCGAACTGATTCGAAGGCTCTCCGACTCAACGGAGAACCGACATCCTTCCCCTCAGAGTTTGGGTTTGTGGGCCTCAACCCGAAGCCCAAACCCAAACGTGAAACCCCGAGCCCAGCCGCAAAGGGCTATTAGGGCTTGTTGGGTGGACTCACGGATTCAAGGTTGATGGTAGGGTTTCGGGTTTAGGCCTTTAGGGTTTAGGGTTTAGGGTTCTGGCTTGGAGCTGCTTGCCCTTATAAGGTTTCTTTCTTCCGTAGATGACAGCTGGGAACTCTAAAATGGAAAATTCGGCTCGAGAGTGAGAAGCAGTCGATAGCCATGCTTCAGTGTTTGATACCCATAGAACTTTCCAGTACGGAATACTCCCTTTACTGTCTTCCAGGAATCCCGATTCTCTTCAAGTTTAAAGAATAGTCCTCAATGAATAGCTACGCAGATGTGATCGCGTGGGCTGCAGCCGCGCCACCTCCTTGACTTCTCAGGTTCTCCGACGCAGACTCCGACGCAGCACGCCCTCGGCCACAGGTTGGACCGCCATAGTTAGTCCTATCAACCCTGCAACCACCCTAAACCCTATATACCCTGTAAACCTTACTTAGCAAGACTCTCTCAAGCCCGTCATGCACAGAAGTTGAGGATGGTGTTGAGGTTCCGGGTCCGAGGGCTGGGATGCAGAGCCCTGGGACTGGTTGGGCGCTTGTGTTTTGTTTCTGGAATGTCTTCGAATCTATTGGTTGGGGGGGGGGGGGGGGGGGGGGCGATTCTGCAGGTTGCGGGAATGCAACCCCTTATAGGATACTCAGGTTGCCCTAAACCCTATAATTCCTAAATCCTAAACCCTAAACCCTAAACCCTATCCCCTGACCCCTAACCACGAACCCCTAACCCTTAACCCCTAACCCCTAACCCCTAAACCCTACCAACATCTGAAAAGATACAAGCCGACCCTCACCCGGACCCTTGGCAGGCACTAAACTGCAGAGCCATAACCGGACAAGGATGCAAAGACATGGCAGCGCCTGACAGTCTTAATGGTATAGGGTTTAGGGTTTAGGGTTTAGGGTTTAGGGTTTAGGGTTTAGCAGGCAAGACCCCGAGCAGGTTGAACGTCCCCAGCCTTATCCTTGTACCTCAGCCCCACAAAGCGCCCAAGCCTCTAAAAGCCACATGGCCCCTCATCCCCACTCCTCAACAGCGAGCTTCTCACCGGAGCTTGTGATGAGAAGGCCGACCGACGCCAGGGAAGAAGGCAGGACTAGGACTACAGTAAACCCTCAGAAGTTGCAACATGATTCTCTTCATACCCCCTAAGAGGGTTACTAAAGGGTACTACCCCAAGAGGGTTATCCCAGCACTAATCGTCCTTTAACCATGTTGCAACTTTAGGGAATTTACTGTAGGTGGGCTTTGAGGAGGTTTTGGAGGCCTTGTCACGGGAGGTTCCTGAACCCGAGGTTGATTGACAGTCTTTCGTCGTTTCTCTGAGAGGAGCTCGGTTGCTCACACTTCCGGGTTTAATTAGGGTTTAGGGTTTAGGGTTGAGGGTTTAGCGTTTAGGGTTAGGGCTGAGGGTGCTCACAATGACATGCCCCAAGAGGCCCGAAGCACGTTGCGAGTCAAAGCTTGAAGAAGTATGAAGCGCCTGTACAGTAAGTATTACAGTAGGCCAAGGGGCTCATGGGATCTTCAGGATTGTGTCGTGGAAAGTCCGTGCGTTCCTTCGGTTGAGGTTTAGGGTGGGATGGCGCTTGGGAGTTCAGAGCCTTGATGTACGAAGTGGCTAGGGAATAACATTGAGACTGGTGGTTGTCTGTCGAATTGCAGCCTTTGCGAATTGTTGGTTTAGGAGGCTCTGAAACCCCTTAGGCAGATGCCCATCGATTTTGAAATCTGTTGTCGCCAGTATGCCCACTCTGCTGACGTTTCTGTTGTATCTCCCACCCTGCAGAATCCCTCCATCACTCCTCTCACTTGCAATACGAAGCACCAGAAGTCCGGCGTTGATCCAATGGCAAGAACTGACCACAGCCAGGCGCGAGCCCTGGAACCTCGATGAGCTTGAGAAAGATGATGAGGCTGAACCCTGCACAGCAAAAAACCCTAAACCCTAAACCCTAAACCCTACACCCTAAACCCTAAACCCTAAACCCTCGACCCTATAAACCCAAAAAAACCCAAAAAAAGCCCAAACCCCCAAAGCCAAGCCAGGGAGGCGCAGGGCCAAAAGTCCTTGATTTAACTGCAAGCTAAACCCCAAACCCTAAATCCTAAACCCTAAACCCTAAACCCTAAACCCCGAAACCCGAAACCCGAAACCCTAAACCCTAAACCCGCAAGGACGCCGGGGCTTTTGCCAACGCGTTCGACCGGGAGTTCCCCACGCTGTCCGACGTTCATGCGGTGAACCTCTTGTGTTACGCCTACCACAGGGTCGTTCGGGCGACAGGCTTTGATACTTGGAGAAATTGTGTTGGGGTTTATAAGGGTTTAGGGTTTGAGACCTAAGTGTGCAAGCAAAATCTCGCACCGCCCCTTGTCAACCAGCTTGGGTGATTTGTTTGGCGGTCGGACCAGCCTTGCGTCCCGAAGTTCTCAGGATAGCAGCCCGCACAATCCTCACGACTATCCATCCCACCTTCTTCACGGCTACATCTTGGCCGTGCTGAACGTGCCTTGCCAGAACCGAGCAACTCTGAAGGTCTGATAAAGTGGTTCAGCTACCATTGCGTGATACTCCGCAGGTTTAGGCGCCACAAGGCCCAAAGGGATCTAGTTCTCATCGCGATTCTTCTCAGGACATGGGCCAGAATCTCGATGGCAACAATGCCTTTAGATCAATGCCAGATGCGGCAATCAGATACCCGCACCTGCGATGGCTCATGGATCTCTTACATTAGGCCGGCAATCCCAACGCGGATACGCCTCCCTGAGAGAAAGAATTCGGCGGGAAGAGATCGAAAAGAGCTTGTTGCAGCAGCAGAGACTCAGAAGGTGGGCCAAGGGGGCTTCGGACTGGCATCACTGCAAGTTTCTGACTGCAAAGTCGGGGCGTATGGTTGGAGAATTCTCTGTTGCGATGTCCCTTGCTAGAGGGAGGAAGGGTCCGAACACACGCAGGATCATAGAGCCCGCTGTCTTTGAAATCGCTCGACCCGAAAACCACCCCCTAGATGCTGCCATTCCTAACGCGCACACCAGCAGGACGCCTATGTCCGACATCGAGATGGGCAGCTCTTTAGTGCTTTTGGCCAAGTTAGAACTGCCTGCTTGAAGAGCCTCCGGCTCAGGCCGACCCCAACAGACCCCACATGCGTTGAGGGGAGGGTTCCCAACAAGACCTTGCAACCTTTGAAGTGTACACCCTTTGAAGTGTATAAGAGCTGCTGGGAACCCTAGCTCGATGAGCGTTCGTCGACATCTCCACCCTTATTTGCGTGCGCATGCCGGCTCGCCCTAGGCTAGAGGGAGCGCTCGAAGATGGTGGTGTAACAATTGGTGCTCTACCACCCTTGTGGGGAACATTGCCGGAAACTCGAGAAAGACGAGCTGCTGTTGACAGACCAGGGGCGTTCTGCGGTCTCTAGGAGCTGTGGCATTCCTTTCCAAGGGGTGGGGGAGAGGGACGCAGACCGGGGGTTTAACAGGGATGTGCGGGGTTGTCGCTGCATGGGTCCCCCTAAAAAAGCCATCACCCTGAATGCTCAAAGAAACGGGGTCATCAGAAGGATTGCTGGGTTGGAAGGTCTCAGGTTTGTGGAGCTCGGGGTTTGCATCAAGCTGTCGAGTCCAGGCCTGCAACTAAGGGATTCGCGCACAGCCGGCGGGTGAAGATGTTGATGCCCACGAGCTTGGGGGTTGAAAGGTAAGGGAAGCAGCGCCTGGTTTCAACAGGGGTTCGCCCTGACCCTGACCAAGGCAACACGTTTCAGATGGAAGACGGTTTCCTTCAAGATGCAACGTGGATTCCGGAATCTTGGTGAGTTTCAGTACGCGCTCCATTATGCAAAGGCATGGGATCAAACCTTCAACCGAATTTGGTGCTTCTTTCCGAGCGTTGCCCCTGTCCGTCCAGGAAATCATTTCGAAGAGTTGAGATAGAGGATTCAGAGCACCGGTGGCAGATTGTCCTTTGACATCGCCCCAGCTGGTGTGATCAGGCGGCCAGCCCTGGCGAGAAGAGGTGAGAAAGGCGGAGGGTGTCTCTTGGAATCGTTCTATCCCATTCGGGATGGGAGGCGAAGATGATGCAGCGCGAACTTAGAGGCGTCGGCTTCTTGGAGGTCGAGTGAGCTGAGGCAGCTGAGGCAGCCTGGGACGAGCTTCTCTGTGGCATCCATCTCCTGAAGCTGTCCGCTCAACGCCTGAGTCTCGACGTCCGTGGCGGTCCAGCAGGCGCGACGTGAAGGCCAGTGCTCCGTCTCGGGAGTTTGAAGTTTGCTCTGGTCAGATCGGGATTGCGCCAGTCAGGGCTGCTTTCCGGGACTTCAAGAAAGCAGACACTTGGGTGTGTAGCGTCGGGGATCGCTCGGTACGAAGAGCTTCGAGCCGGGAGACGTCACGATGGTTCTGCCGGAAAGCGAGGCTGGACACAGAACCGGCATGTCAAGCCACTCGCGACCAAATCCAGGCCGAGAAGACAACCTGTTTCACTGATAGGGTCGATGCCTTTGGTGCGCGGGCCTTTGACGAAAGCTTTGCAATGCAACTATGCTCAAGGTATAAGGACATGTCCATGAAACGCTCCCCCTCCTCTTGTGTCACGAACACGCCCAGTACGAGCTCTACAGGGCCCTGGAGTCCGAAACCCTCCATCGACCCAAAAAGCCGCAGTTGTGAAACCCCGGAAGCCCTAAGTTGCGAGGATGCCCGGAACCAGAAATCCTGAACCCTAAGCCTAACAATCCCCCCCCCCACCAGGGCCTTTGAGGCTCCCATTCAGTTCTCTAGTTCATGGTTGGGATAATGTCAAAAGGTTAAATTTCTATTCCTTAGTGATTGAATTTGAGTGCCCTTAAAGATTCAAAATGTCACCCCACTATGGCAAAGAGAAGAAGCGACTAGCCCTAAACCCGAAACCCTAAACCAAGGACCCAAGTGACAAAGTTCTGAGGTCAAGCAATGTCCAGCGAAACATCATCGTTCACCAGCAGCAGAGCCCTGGCTGAGACGTAAGTCGTGGGGGTTTGCTCCCAGGAGCTTTCGGGCGGTTTAGGGTTTAGGGTTTAAGGTTTAAGGTTTAGGGTTTAGGGTGTAGGGAGCGCGTGGTTCCCAACTGAAAAGGGCTCTGTAACAAAATCTTCCTGGCTTTTAGTAGGGCATGGGGAGAATGAGGTACCCTGTATTCCCCTATATATACCCTTTCAGGGATTTTCTAGAGTACCACCTAATTCCCCGATTCCCTACTAAGAACCAGGCGAAAAGAGGGGACTCCTGTAGGAGTCGTTTGTAGGGTTCGGAGTATTGTGGGGTTGGGGTGCCAAAGTACCCCGTATTTGTTGGGGGCTGTACCCGGATTGCAATCTACTAAGAAATCCGAGGGGTGTAGTGAGCACGCAAGCCCCAGTTAAGAAGCCAGGTTCTGGCCGAACCAGGAGAGAGAATCGCCGCAATGGTAGGGTTCGGGTGTTGGCGGCCTTCTGGAACCCTCGAGCACTGAAACCCCGAAACCTCTAAACCCGTATCCCCAAAACTCATCCAGACCCCGAAGCTCGAAGGCCCTAAAGCCCCAAACTTGTATGACGACCCCAAAACCCTCAACCCCTAAACCCCTAAGCCTTTCGGCCCTCAGCCCCAAGAACCGCTGCCAGGAACGACCCGAACTTCACTGGGCCAAAGAAGCCCCAAGGTGGGGGTTCAGATGCCCACACCGCGTCTTGGGGTTTGGGTCTTGGGATTTGGGGTTTAGGGCTGCGTTGAACAGGTGCTTTTTCTTTTGGTGGGAGGGCGAGGGGGGATCTAGGTGGGTTTCGTGTCTTAGGGCTCTTGGTTCATGGTGTGACACCCCCCCCCCCCCTCCCCCTCCACCCCCTGCCCCAGGACCACAGCAACCCCGCGCCCCATCCCGCATTGCGGCTTAGGAATGACAGGTTTGGTGTTTCTGTAATGCTTAGGGTTCATCATTTCAAGATTCGATCCCAAATTGAGGCCTGTAAACACTGAGCTGCACCCTCAACCCCGCTTTGGCTGTTAGCATTCAAACCTTCAACCATAGGGGCTGACCATGAACAAGGTATGTTCCTTAATGTGCCCTAAATCCTAGGTAGGATAAGGGAGACCCTTAAAAGGGGACCCTTCTGAACCCTCTTCTGGCTCTCTTAAACAGGGACCTTATTCAGAGGGTCTATATCCCCAAAAGTTCCCCCTAATCCTATCCCCTACTAAACCATCCCTAAACCCTAAACCGTAAACCCTGGTCCATCCGCACCGAAGCCGCAGGCTACCGCGTGTCACAGGCGCCTGGCGGAGCCTCCTCCATTAACCTCTCATGGGGGGGCGAGGCGCGCCGATCGATACCTGCAGGGCTTAGGCAGGGGTTTAGGGTTTCGGGATTTAGGGTTTCGGGTTCCGGGTTCATTTTCTGAGTTCTTAAGGTTTCTTGGGGGTTGGGATGCCGGGGTGTGTCTGGGCTCGCAGGAGGGGTTAGGGGTTTGGGGGCTTTTTTGGGTGCTCTTGGGCTCATGGTTTCCTTGGGGGCCTTGGAGGGTTGAAGTCTGGGATGGTCCCCCTTTAGGGTTTAGGGTTTAGGGTTTAGGGTTCAGGGTTTAGGGTTTAGGGTTTAGGGTTTAGGGTTTAGCATACCAGCAGTCCTGGGGGGGAGGGGGGGGTCACAATAGGGGGTACTGAGTCTGGGCGTTTGTAGGCTCTTTTTTGGGGCTGAGTGGGTGGGTAGAGGTTCTAGGTTTACAGTTGCAAAATCTCTAAGGTTTAGGGTTCCGGGTTTAGTTTCGGCCAAGCAGTTAAGAGAAGTTCGAGAGAAGTTGAGGGGCTTAAAGTTTTCCATGCTAATGCTGAATAGCACGCAAGTCCTGTGGGTTCGAGCTACATTCAACCAATTGAAGAACATTGGGTTCGTCAGTCCCACTTCAGCCTTTATTTACGATGTGCCGATTTCAGGGCTTGATTTAACGGGTGTAGGGGTTTAGACTACTTTTTTTACCGACACTTACTTCTAAGCCTCACGAGCCTCGAAGTGGCTGAATTAGCGACATGTCTGAGGATCGATGAAGAGAGAGATGGAGAGAACAAGAATCAGACTTGGGGAAAGGAAATCAGGAATCCAACAGGCATTCACTTGTCTCCACTTTCACAACGTAAGTTTTCACCTTACGGGTCATACGTGAGATGGGCATCCCTTTCGTCACAAAGCCACCTACGAACCCATACATCGGGACGAATTCGCAGACTAGCTCGACCCACGACTGTCGCGTAGAAGATTGCCCTTCAGGAAAATACCATTGGGAAGTAAGAACAAAGTTTAACACAAGCCGCATGGCTGGGATGTTCTTAATAGTATTCCCCCATGAAATATCCTCCATCGCGACGTGAAGGTCTATTCTACGAGTGATGATGACTTCTTTACGCGCAGAAGCGTATCTGGGACAAGCCCTCATGACGTCGTCCCAAACACCTCCGTCAATCGGCAAGCCTTGCTTAAACGGGTTGACGAAACTTTGAAGGCTGTCTTCATGAAAAGACGGCTTTTAGACTTAAGACTACTATTTAGAGCAGTAGGCTTAGTGCAGTAGGCTCAGTTAGTGAGGCCGAGTCCCTACAAAAATGCAGCGCCCAGGGGCCGCCGCCCCAGCGCGCGCCCTCCCCCGGCGGCCGCGCATTGCGCGCAGAGGCCAGGGCCGCGGAGGCTTGGTTTTGGGTTTAGAGTTTCCAGTTTAGGGTTTAA